AAAATTTTTTTTTAGTTTATTTGTGTCTATGTTCATGAGAGTCATTGGTCTGTGGTTTTCTTCTTCTGTACTGTCTTTATCTCTGATTTTAGTAGCAGGGTAATAGTAGCCTCGCAAAATGAATTGGGAAGTATTCTCCTGTTTTCTCTGAAAGATTGTCGAAAGTTGGTGTTCATTCTTTCAATGTTTGGTAACATTCTCCAGTGAAAATCTGGGCCGGGAGATTTGTTTTTCTGGAGTTTTTTATTTCAAATTTAATTTCTTTAATGGCTGTAGGAATATTGAGATTGTCTATTTCATTTTGATTGATTTTTTTTGGTAGTTTTGTTGATTGTTTTTTATATCTCTTATTTATTTATGAATTTTTTTGGAGATTTGCTTTAAGCATGTTTATAAATGCTCATTGAAACAAGCATTTTTATAATGGCTGCTTTAAAATCTTTGTCAGAGAATTGTAGCATCTCTGTCATCTCAGTGTTTAGCATTTGTTGATTTTCTTTTCTCTTTCATGTTGAAATTTTCCTAGTTTTTGATATGAGAAGTGATTTTTGTATCCTGGAAATTTGGGTTATTATGTTACAATAGTCTGGATCTTATATAAATCTCCTATCTTAGCAGGCTTCTGCCAACACCAGGGGGAAGAGGGCACCTTGTCAACAACAGGTCCAGGCTGCCCCTTGTCCTCCCTGATTCCATGGTAGAGGGACGAGTACCTTGTTGCTGCTGGGTGGGAATGGAAGTCTAGGCTCCCAAAACAGGCTCTTCTGGTAGGGGCGGTCGTAGTATGTGTTGGGGGGAGGTTGTTTCCTTCCTGTCACTTCATCTGGAGTGGATAACAAAAAGCCTGGCTCGCTGGATATCCTGTGCCCAGTCCTTTATCTAGAGACGGAGAGCAGACTTTTGTTGAGACTTTTTTTCCCATGCTGTTTGGCATTTTTAGGGTGCAGCCCTTTTCAGTGACCAGTTTGGAATATACATGAGGGAAACAAATCAAAATGGTCAATTCACTGCCGCATCACTCTTGAAATCCTAAGGACCCTAGCCAGTTTACTTTCTTTTCTTCACTTTGAAAGGTTTTCTGATGTTTGTTTCATATTTAATATCAAGTTTTTAGTTGTACTCAGCAGGAAGAATAGGGAGAAATGTGTCTACTTCATCTTGTCCAGAACCAGCAGTTTTTGTTTTCATTTTAATTCCTAGTATCATCTGTACTTTCTTGATTATTTTTCTCGACCAATGTCATCAGAGGGTTGTGCATTTTTAGACCTTTTTTGAAGAACCAAATTTTATAGTTGTTCATTTTCTCAATTGGCTCTCTTTTCTTTTCTTAACTTCTGATCTATGCCTTATTTTTACCTTCTTTATAGTTTCTGTGGATACTTTCTGTTATTTTTCTAACTTCTTAAATTGCGTTTTTTACTCGCTAATTTTCTGCCTTTCTTTATTCCTAATATGGGCTTTTAAGGCTGTAAGTTTTCCTGTAAGTTCTGTTGTAGCTGCTGGCTACAAATTTTGGTGCATAGTAATTTTATTATTGTTGAGGTCTAATTATTTTCTAATTTCATTATGTTGATCCCATCCATTTCTTATTTAGACGCATTTAAAAAATGTTATGTCCCGGGGAATTATAAAGTTATCTTTTTGCTAATCATATCTAATTTAATTGCCTAGTGGGTAGAAAGCATGGTCTGTTGATTCTATGTCTTCCAAATTTGTTGAGACTCGCATTATGAGTTAGAACATTGTCAATTTTTGTTCTGTTCTCTGAGAGCTTTAGGAGAATGTGTTGTAACCTCTAGATGTCAGGTACAGAGTTTCACACACACAGCATCATATTTTTGTGTTGTTTATGCACTCCACATATTTGTTATGTTGTCATTATGCTTGTGTGCTGTGACCAGGGGGTGTGCTCCGTCTCCCACCAGGTAGGCAGGGGTTGCTAGGCTTGAGTGTCACTCCTCAGATTGAACTCCCAATCTCGGGCTCTTGGAGCATCTGTGTACTTCCTCACTGTACCGAAACAGCTCTCACCTCTCAATGGGATTATTGCTTAAGCTCCTGAAGTCCCTCCTGCTTCTCCTGCCCCTCTTCACCTTCAGCTTGTTTTCCGTACCAGCAGCCTGATTGCTGTGTTAGAATACTGTGATTTGTCATGCCTCTTTTCTTCCTGATGCCTTCTCATAGCCCTGTTTCCCACAGGTTCTACCTGCCCCCATTCTTAAAATGGTCTAAAACACCCTAGCCAACATGGCTCCTCGTCTCTTCTCCACATCCATCTTCTACTGCCCTCCCCTCACTCACCCTCTGCTGACACGTGTCCTCCTGGCAAAAGGAGGACGTGGAGGAAGCCCAGTAGAAAGCAGGTAGGACAGCCCTCTGCCTCCTTGTTGTCTGATGTTTCAAACTTCTGATGCAGTCCAAGCCCTTCATTAAGAACACGGATGACGATGTGAGCTGCTTGTGCCCCCATGTGCACTTGTGTGTGGGGATGTGCCTACCTGTGTGTGTGTGTGTGTGTGTGTGTATAGTTTGCAGCTGAATGGGCTTCTTTTCTCTGGACTTTGCCCAGGAGGGGATGGGACGTCCTTGGGGACTCATCCTTTGAAGCTGATTTGTTGTGACGGCCTGTTCAGCAAGTCGTTAAAAACTATTGCTTCTGTCGTTACTAAGTGGGTCACGCAGTGAGGGAAAGCCATAGAGGTGAGGAAGGGGACTCACGTACCTCACTGTATCTTCTCTGTCGTCCTCCCTTCCTAACACAATTGTGTTTTGAAAAGAGAACAGCAGAGCATTTCATCTCTGAGATTTTCACGATGACTCACATCTAACAGGGTGCTTGGTGTCTCTGGCTCCCTGAAGCATGTTGGCAATGTCAGCAGAAGTGGGTCGTTGCATGAGTATGTCTGTTTGCCACGTCATGTCCCAGATTTCTAGTCTCCTGGTGTTCCTTACCAATTTAGTGAAACGTCAGAGCCATATATATTTAGTAAGCTACTACCCTTTAGATGTTTCTACAATGAAGTAAATTGCAAATGGAATGTCCTTTGGTTAAAGTCCATTAATTTCTGATTATATTGCCTTGTTATCAGAGACTGCTGTCTGTACCATTTCTACTTTCTGTACCTTACTAGAAGGAATCATCCTGCCTGCTAGAATTCTGAGAGCCTCTTGGGAGGAGGGGACAGGAGGTCTTTTTATTCAGTCTGTTTTCTTCCGCACCACACTCCTGGTTTAACTTTGGCGTTGCACTCTCTTCAGAACTGCTTATTGTCCAATCCTCAGTGAGCCATCCTGCTCAGAAAGGAAGACTGCAGTTGTCTGTGGGAATAGAAGAGTGTCCAGCCAGCAATGACAGGTGCTGGGGCATCTGGAGACCTTGTGCTTCCTTAAAGAAAGTGTTAATTCTTACTCTTGTTTTTACTCACTTTCCTCCCCCGTGGTCCCTTGACTCCATCGTAGAGGGACGAGTGCCTTGTTGCTGCTGGGTAGGTGTGGAAGTCTAGGCTCCCAGCACAGGCTCTTCGGTTGTAGTGTATGCGGGGGTATCCTGTCACTTCACCTGGAGTAGGGCAGGTATTGTCAAAAAGACTTCTGGCTCACTAGATTTCCTGTGCCCAGTCCTTTGCATAGAGACAGAGAGCAGACTTTTCTTCTGTTATTTGGCATTTTTAGGGTGCAGGCTTTTTCAGTGACCAGTTGGGAATATATATGAGGGAAACAAAACAAAACAAAATGGTGAATTCACTGCCACATCACTCTTCAAATCTGAGGTACCCTAGCCAGTTTACTTTCTTTTCTCCATCTTGAAAGGTTTTCTGATGTTTGTTTCATATTTAATGTCCAGAGTTTTTAGTTGTACCTTAATGTATTATATGGATAAGACATTTTAGCTTGAAACAAAGTCAGTGCTGTTGTTTATTGCCTAAAGTGATTACCTGATTGACTCAGAGAAAGGGAAAGACATTTAACATAGGTTTCTAATTATTTTTGGTGTTGTGACCTCACAATTCCAAATGTTGGATGCTGTTATAGGCAAGCCTTTTCAGTTGTCTATAGCAATAATTCATGGAGGTCATAAATATACACCTATGGAATAGATTAAAAACACAGCAAAGACAATATTTTAAATTGCTCCATATTTTTTTCTGAAAACTTTATTGTTCTCTAATCACCTGAAATTATACCAAACAATAAGGAAAACTTGCCTTTATTGCATGTTATGTTTAGATGCTTTATGTTTATTATCTCATTTATTTTCATTTAATAGCTGTTAGCTCCATTTTACAGATTCAGAAACTAAGGCTAAGCAGCATGTTAGCATACCTTACAATATATTATGTTGACAAAAGACTTAAAAAAAAACACACAGCAAAGCAGAGAATGTTAAGAAAATGGGTACTTGTGACTGGAGATTAAACTTACAGTTTGGACAGCAAACATGAATTCAAAAAGTAAAAAGTCAAGCAGTTCAGATCAAGGTGAAGTGATGCACTCTGGAAGCACGCTAGATGGTGCAGAAGGTGGCTCTATTTGGACAAAACTGCATTCTGAAATTAAAGAGTTTGAATGAAATTATTATACCTTCTGTAGAAGTAGAAAACCAGCGATGTATTTATATTAATATATAATTTCATAAATGTTATTTAAAAATCAGTATATATGTGTATAAATATGCTAAATATTATAAATAGAAAGTTGACTGTTTTGTTTACATTCTCAAAGTTTATACAGTTTTACCAAAACTCTTCTTTTGGACTTCTCATTTATCAAATGGAAACCTCCTTGTTTTTGGAGCAGCCTCATTTGGGCCATAGAGGGTGGTATCCCAGAGTGAGTTCTTGCTGGCATCTCATCTCCACAGTCTTAGCTGCCTCATCTTTGAATGTTTAAGAAATGTTTACTGCTCTCTTGAATGCCAGAAAGCAATTCTGTTGAAGCTCAGTCGTTATGGACAAGGTTATAGATTTGTAAGCTCATCCCCCTGTGTTTTTGTGTTTTAGGTAGGGGTTCCACGACAAAGTCAGTCCTCCTATAAAGCACCAGTTCCGGTTATGATGCTCTGAGTTACACTAAGGCTGAACATTTGTGGTCTATGGATCTGCTCTGACTCTTAGAGCCTGCTTATGGGGGAAGGTGAGTTCCTGTCAAGTGTCTTTTGTTTGCTCGTTTGTTTACCAAGACTGTGTATGGGAAAGTCAAGCTCACTCTGGAAAATGAAGTATGTTTGAAGTGGCACAATGTGTACTTTACCCTCTTCAGTCCATGATATGGTGTCAAATGGGAAGTAGTACAGGAGAGAAGACAAATGATGATAACAGGGAAAGTTCAACAAAGAAAGGCAGTTGATGCAATAATGTGATAATGTAGGAACCTCATTCCTGGTTGACTCTTGAAAAGTCTTGTTGAGTTGAGATGGAGTTTGAAGAAGCAGATCAAAGTTTGAGGGAGCAGGTCTAAGCTGAGGCAGAAATGTTTCTCTGTGGCTTTTTCCCTTGAATTTTGAGGAGCATGGGAACCTTTAGAACTGTTTTCCCGTAAGTATTCCCTGTTGTTACCCTTCCAGGTCCTCATCCTGCCATTTTGTAAAGAACACTCACTGGGTGGGAAATCTGGAGAGCCAGGTCTGTTGTCAGCTTGTTTATTAGTTCCCCTGTACATAAGCACCAGCCACATGAGGAGCCCTGTGCTAAGCAAAGCAGGCTCGCCTGGCTCTGCTGACAGTCCTGCTGTGTGTGCACGGGTGGAGAAGCAGGTGTGTTCTGTGTGCAGGAGTGTGTGTGCTGTGTGCAAGAGCATGTGAAGTAGCATGTGTGTTCTGTGTGCAGGAGCATGTGTGTTGTGTGCTTACGTGGGGTACTGTGTGTGCATGTATGCAAGAGTGTATGCGGTAGCGTGTCTGTTTTGTGTGCTGCTTTGCTCTCCAGTGCTCTGAGCCCTGGGTTCTCTCTGGCAGGGCTCACGGGTTCTGAGCCTGCAGTACTGACTTTTCCTGGCCTCAGTTTCTCACTTATAAAATAAAGGAACCTCAGAGGTTCCTTCTACCACTCACATGCCTTGGTCAGCTCCAGCCCAATTCTAGTTTATCCATCCATATATTTTGTGTTATGAGGGTACCGCCAATATAAGAGTACATTCTAGGGTGCTTTATTTATCCAGGGCCAAAGGTGGCCACTGAGAATCTGTGTTAAGCTGTATAATTTATTAATGCAGATTCACAACACAAACCTTGTATAGGTTCTGAGTTAACGTACCTCTGAGGTGGTTGTCAAAGAAACAGGTGCATCTTTAAAAAGTCACAAGACTTTATAATAAGGGACACCAGGTCCCTCACCGACTTTCTGAATTTTTTGATTGTTCTTCTCAGTACCGGCTTCTCTCCTGTGCTGCCCAAATGTTGTCTGTCTGGTTTTGGGTTTTTTTAATTGCAGCTCAGCATTTTTAATCCCGTGGTGTTTGACCCAATTCCATAAGCCTGTGTCCTGTGTTGTTTTGATCTTTGCTTTGTTCTGCTTTGCACAGAGGACTGTTAAAACCATTTCAACCTCCAGGTGTCTATTTGGGCTGAATGTCAGTGACTGGTCACAGCAGTCTTGAAATCTGCTGGATTTGGACAGGAGCCAAATGAAACAGCTTCTTTCACATGACTGGCGCATCCCAGGCTGTGGTCAAGAGCAAGGTCGGTTATATAAACCAGACCAGAGCTGACTGGGCTTCTTCCGGCACATGTGGAGGACCGGCCAGGAGCACACCCAGGCCAGGCTGCAGCTCACCTAAGCCAGGAGCCGAGGGGGCCCCACTCTGGACTCTCTGCCTCCTCTTCAGCCTACCTGGATCCATGCTGGGGAGCCCATGCACTGCTTGTCTGCCTGCGCTTTGCCTGGCCGCATCTGCCAGGTTCCCCCATGCTTGATGGTCTGAGCATCTGAGCCTGTGTTAGGCATGCGACATGGCTGCAGAAGTAATGGGTGGTCCACTAAGACAGAAAACCCACAGCCACTAGGGAGGTGCCCCACCACTTTGCCCAACACATTCCAATGAACGTGAAGGCACTGAGTGCCCTGTGCTGGCCCACCCCCATCCGGGAGGTGTAGTGTTCGTGGAGTGTGGTTCCTCACCCATCTCTCTCCTCTCCTTCCTACCCATCCCCTCCCCATGTGCAATGTGTCTTCCACCCTGAAACTGCCCGCAGTCATGTCCTCAGTTTTCACCCTGGCCTTCTTCCTCTCAGCAGCATTCAGCTCAGTGCTAACTAGTCTCCCCTTGGCTCCCTGGATGCCACTGTCCCTCAGTTTCCCTTCTGGCCCTCTTTGTGGTCCTCACACCCTCAGCTCCTTCTCTTTGGCCAGTGACTCTGGTCCTTTGTGTCCCTCTTGTTTCCTGTCCTTCTCACCTCTTCAAGGATTTGACTTCTGCCTTGCTCCTTCTCTGTGCTTCCCACCTGCATGTAAACAGGTGGGCATGCCCCTTGGCAGCATGTCCACCTGCAGTGACCACTCATCTCTGTGTCCCCTTAATGACTGGCTTTACTGGCGCTACCAGCTCATCTTGCACCAGACCTGCCTTGTGAAGGTCCACACACCTACCCCCACCAGACCCTAAGGTCAGTGTCCAGGCCACCCCAACGCCCTGTCAGTGGCACTTGTTGCTGTCAGTCACCTGGTAGGCAAGAGCACAGGCCCTCGATGGCCTGAGCTTTATGAGCGTGAGCAAGCCATGAGTGACTGTGCGGTTCCTTCTGTCATCCGTAGCAGGAATAAGGACAGACCCTACACAGGGAGCTGCTGTGGGGCGTGAATTAGCTGACAGTGCCAGACACATAGCAAGGGCTGTCTTCATGTTGGCTGTTAGTGTCCTCCTCCTCTGCCTGGCTGCTACATGTTGACATCCCCAGGACTCAGAGCTCGGTTGGGCACTGATGACAGCTTGCCTGGGTGGGTGGGAGCGGGGAAAGGCCCCTCCTCATGGGAGTGCCGCTGGCTGGCTAAGCGGGTTTGTCACTGTGTGCCAGAGCTTCAAGCATGTGTATCCTTCGAGACCCTGAAATTATATCTATAAATATGCATTCCAAGGAAATAAGAGAGGGTCGGAATGCGGTCCACCCGAAGATTATTGTTAAAACATTGTTTAATATAACAGTTCAAAAACCCAGGATATACAATCATTGCAGATTAATTATATTTTTATGCATAAATGGAAGTATAAAATTTTGTGCATAAAATAGAACGTCATTGGGAATTTGATCACTGTTATGTAGATTTAAATATATTGACATAGAAAAGTATTTTGTATTTAATGTTAAATGAAAAGAACAGGACAAACATGGGTGGTTTGGTTCTGTTTTTCTTAAAAAATATAATAACACACACCTACTGGAAAAAATATGAATAGGTAAACCCCCAAAATCCTGCTATTGCAGGTGGTCTTTCTGGGTGATGATATTACAGGGTTTTTTTTGCATATATGTGTTTTCTATTTTTTTCTGTAATGAGCTTCCAATACTTGTGTTATTTTTCATTTTTACTTCCCATAATGAACAATCAGGCTGACTTTGGTAGTAAGACCTGCGTGCCTCCGCTTTCTCTCTGTGCACCTCTGTTGGCATTACAATCTGTGGCACATTCTGTGGGCTCTTGCAGTGGGCAGCTTAGTACTCCTGGCAAAATGCATGCCTGACCTCACAGCCAGTGATTCCTGTCCGCAGTCCTAGTTTGACCACTGCCTGTTGTCCTTTTTATCATTTATCTGCATCTGATTTCATGTGAGATGGTGAGGTAAAAGTGATAATTCAGTGAAAAGTGGAAGCGGAGGGCCACTTTCTCCTGCTTGGTGGCAGAAGTGCCTGTTTTGGTGGGTGGATCAGTGTGCATTCTCCATGTCTTCTCCTAGGGTCTGGGTCCATCCTTCTGTCTTGCGCTGCCCAGATCAGAGCCCTAACATCAGGATGGCTCTCAAGGACACACAGTGCTAAGTCTCTATGTGCGGCTTGCTTTTAGGGTGGTACCTAGAAGCTCTAGATCAAACAAAGAAGAAGATGGAGAAACGATTTGCAGTTGGTGCCATCTCAGGCACCTCGTCCTGGTGAGGAAGAGCCTCATCCTGCAGCTTTGTGCGAGGCCCGTGCACGGCAGACAGCCCATGCAGCAGTTACAGCTTAAGTCTTCAGAGCTGCGTTGTGACTAGTGTTGGGCCCTGAGGTCTTTGCCCGCACCCACCCTTCCCTTCCCAGGGCTTAGCTGCTGCGGCTGGTGTCCTGCAGGCATGCCGATTTGTGCGGTGGCCCCTGTTTGGGGGAAGGAGTCATTGAAATGACAGCGCATCCATGCCGGGTGCACCCCTCCAACAGAACGAGGGGAGTTGGGCGAAAAGTAGGTCACATGTGCCTGGTCCCATGTCACGAGGTTTCCAACCTGAGGCCAATGGGATTCATAGCCTCCTTTGGTTTAGAACAAAACACCACTCTAATTTTTCTCCTTTAGCATTTCATCTTCTCTAAACAGGGAGAGTGACCATCTGTCTGATAGCCACATCCAACCAGCCCTTCCCGACCTCACAGAGCCGCTTTGTTCTGAGGTAAGGGGATGCTGGGGCCCGAGCGAGGCTTCTCTGGCTAGGAGAACAGGCTGAGTCCACGAGGGCTGAGGAGCCGGGTGGGTACCGGTTATCAGGAAGAGTGTTAGGAGGATGACCGCAGCTCTGCGCAGTATTTTTCACTGTGATGGAAAAAGTGGAAATGGTGTTATATTTATACAAGGTTTTAGACGTTCAGATGAGGGTATTCACATCAAGTCCTCTATTTTAATGATATGGCTCTTTTTTAAGAATCAAGGTCAACTATTAACACCCTAATGTGAAAGTGTTATTAAGTAGAAAGATGAACTTATCATTTTACAGGTGTTTGTCAGTCGTTGATACTGGGAACAGGTGTGGACATGTGGTTCTCTTTCTTAGAAATGTTGGTTGTCCCCGTGGTGCAGGGCCCTGGGCTCTTGGTGTTGTTGGTCATCCCCATGGTGCAGGGCCCTGGGCTCTTGGTGTTTGAGAACGTCGACCTCTGAGGTGCACGGGTGAGCTATCGGCTTCCACTAATGTAAAGCATTGTGAGATCCACGTATGAGAACACAGTTAATATATGT